GACAAGAAGGGGGATGGGAATTGCTACAGGGCTGTCGAAGGGTTGGACCGTAGCCGGTTTTCCCGGACAAACAACAGTCTTGTATTTGGTACCCATTTTCATTTTTGGGGTAGGGAATACGTTGCGGTATTCTGTACCCTTGCGGGCATCGACGTCCCTTCCAAAGCTAGCTTGCATGCTAGGCTTTACATTCACACGACAAAGGGATGATGAAATACGGGCAGTGTGCGTGTATCAAAGCTCAAGCCTATCCAGCTTCAAGCTTCTGTGAATTCTGCGGCTCAGCTAGTCCTCCCATTCCCCAAATCCCTTTTGACACCCTCGAACTGACGCCCAGATAAGGAACAAGCCGTGCGAGCGCACGCGAACTGACGCCTACCCATTGGTTCGAAGATGTCAGGCTCTGAGGGTCTGACATTGGGCCCGTCGAAGCAGGCAATTAGTGCACCGCTGCTACCACGAACCACCTGGATACGCCACACTTCAAGAGCCATGCCTTTCAATGACTGGGTCAAAAGCCAAATCGTACCCCCCAGTGATTCACCAATGGTACCATTGGTTTTTACCCACAGCCAAAAGGCATGGAATGGAACGGCGACCCACCTCCACGACAAGCACCACTTGAGCGGTGTCCCGGGGTGACTCGTTGCCGACGCCCTGCGCGCAAGACTGGGGCAAAGCGCAGAAAAGCAAGCCTCGAACAGCAGCAATGAATTGGAACCAACTGCCTAACTTGGCACGAAAGACTTTGATGAGGAAAGCTGAAGCTTTATGAGCCCCTGGCAACCTTTTCTCCAGTGTTTCTTTTATCGCGTTGCAGGAATGTAAGCTTCCAATCCCTTTGGCAGCTCCAGCACCAGAATCGCACCGCCAGCCAGAGTTGCGATTGCGATTGCTGGACACGGCCTATATATTTCAACTGCCCTCAAAACCTACGCCAATGCCACCGCAGGGCCTATGCAAACCTTTTGATTGCAAAGACCAGATGTGAGGGCTGCGCGCATGTGCTGCTCAAGTATGGTGTCGAGCTTTAAGAAGCGTCGTATAGTGAATGCATGCCCGCAGTCACCGACTTGCTATGCTTCTGTTTCACTCTTGCAAGCTTGGACGCCTGCTGGAAGAGCAGAAAGCGACGAATAAGCTGTTCAAGTGCAACGCTTTGTCCTCCCCTTGCGTTGTGAAAGGGGTCCACGTTCCAGAGGCTTAAAAGGAATCATCCGAATTTCCCAATCCTCCATGTTGAACAGCAGCAATCAACATCTTTGGTGCAACGTGGGAAGCAAGAAACATATTTTGGGCATGTACCCTGAGACACGGACGTGCTTGCACAGCAGAAGTGTGTAAAGCAAAACTAAAAATAAATAAATATATTATACATAACAAATAATAATAATAACAATAATAATGATAAAAGTAATATACTGATAAAACAAAACAAATGTTCAAAAAAAAGTGTCCCGTCCTCGTGGATCTGCTTCTTCTTGACCTCACCCGTCTTGTCCGGGGTGACATCCTCCGAACTCCGCGACTTTCTCACGCGCCTTTTGCCAAGTGCCGCGCCCCACCACATGCTGCTTACTCCTCCATGCGCACTTGCTTGCCAATTCGCCATGATCTTGATCAGAGCTAAATCGGATAACTTGGAAACAACTAGCTTTCCGCGCATTTACGCCAGAAACGGTCACCTTTGACTGACGCGGAAGACAACCATGGACCAAGGCTGAGCGAGGCAGGCATCCTCCTCCATGTATATTTCGTGCACCTCGATCTTGATGGTCACCTGCAAAATTGGGGAAAGCTGTGCCCAACCTTTAAAAACCTCCAGCTTTCCCTTGAAATCCTCTTGTGTGCAATTTGTCGGGTAGGTGTCAGTAGTCATTCCCGCTGCGTGCTGGCGCGGTAGTGGTGTGGACTGCCTTTTTTGCCATCGTGTCAGCCACTTGAGGCACAGCTACAGCAAGCAACATAGCAACAAAGAGCAAAAGATGCAACCTGCTGACTGGGCCGAAGCGGCAATGTCACTCGCTGGATCCTGCCTCGCCGTGGGAGGTGTTGCCATAAGCGTACTGAGGCTCACACCTACGTGGGTCAAACGCAGCACGCGCATCATGGCCCACATTCCTTGCCCACGGCCACCTGCTGCTATTCATGCAACTCGGCAAGCGACAGGCTGCGAGGAATTTCGTTCACAATCAACGGATTCAAAGCAACAAACTCATCGTAACAAAGCTGATGCGGATGGCAAGAATTGGAGGTGATTTTAGGACACTTCTGTGCTTGGACTCTGTTGGGTTTACAGGGGAAATAAAAGGAGTCTCCCATTTCCCGGGGCTTCACGTTTTTGAGGCAAACCGACAAACCAATTCGAAAGGACCAATGCACAAGGCCAGCCTCAGCTCCACCATTCCGCCCTTCCTGGACACGTGTCATGCGCAGAGTTGCCAAGGGAGTAGTTTGGCTGGCTGATTTGTCTGGCTTGGCTGGTTGGAGTTGGAGTTGAGTTCGTTTGCAAGCAACACCCTGAGAGAACCTCTGGGTCGCAACGAGTGGAAAATGGGCCGTAACAGATTGACAACCTCGAAAAGAGTTCATGCTTGACAAGGCTCTTCTCCACCACAACAACAACACCGCCACCACCACCACCAACAACAACAACGACCACGACCACGACGACGACTCGTCGACGACGACGACGTTGACGACGACGACGACGACAACAGCGACAACAGCGACAACAGCGACAACAACGACAACGACAACGACAACGACAACGACAACGACAACGACAACAACAACAACAACAACAACAACAACAACAACAACAACAACAACAACAACAACAACAACAACAACAACAACAACAACAACAACAACAACAACAACCAAGCAGCCAGCCAGCCAGCCAGCCAGCCAGCCAGCCAGCCAACCAACCAACCAACCAAACCAACCAACCAACCAACCAACCAACCAACCAACCACAACCAACCAAAACCAACCAAAACCAACCAAAACCAACCAACACCAACACCAACACCAACACCAACCACATCCACAACCACAACAAAACAAAAACAACCACCCACAACCACAACCACAACCACAACCACAACCACGACCACGACCACGACCACGACCACGACAACGACAACGACAACGACAACGACAACGACAACGACAACGACAACGACGACGACGACGACCACGACGACGACGACGACGACGACGACGACGACGACGACGACGACGACGACAACAACAACAACAACAACAACAACAACAACAACAACAACAACAACAGCAACAACAGCAACAACACGACACGACAACGACAACGACAACGACAACGACAACCACAGCAACAGCAACAGCAACAGCACAGCAGCACAGCAGCACAGCAGCACAGCAGCACAGCAACAGCAACAGCAACAGCAACAGCAACAGCAACAGCAACAGCAACAGCAACAGCAACAGCAACAGCAACAGCAACAGCAACAGCAGCAGCAGCAGCAGCAGCACAGCAACAGCAACAGCAACAGCAACAGCAACAGCAACAGCAACAGCAACAACAACAACAACAACAACAACAACAACAACAACAACAACAACAGCAACAACAGCAAGCAACAGCAACAGCAACAGCAACAGCAACAGCAACAGCAACAGCAACAGCAACAGCAACAGCAACAGCAACAGCAACAGCAACAGCAACAGCAACAGCAACAGCAACAGCAACAGCAACAGCAACAGCAACAGCAACAGCAACAGCAACAGCAACAGCAACAGCAACAACAACAACAACAACAACAACAACAACAACAACAACAACAACAACAACAACAACAACAACAACAACAACAACAGGCATCTGGCAGTGACTGCCGCAAAAGAATTCGATGGGTCTTACCGGCAAGATTGACCGGGTTGACTGCTAGCGACTGTCGGCAGAGGTTGGGGGGACTGCGATGCTGACCTGATAACTTGGAGGGGCTGGATCAACTCAGGCAGTGCATGCCAAACACAAAAATAAGATGCCTATTTTCTTGGTTGCTGTTGACCCCCCTGCAAAAAGTTTAACTTTTTGGGGGTTTAGTGGAAAACACCTTGATTTCCCAAAAAGTTAAAGTCTAAAGATCCAACCCAATAGCAGTCAAGTTTTAAGCAACATCGGGAACCGAAGTCATGCTAGGAAAGCGCGGTGTTTAGCCCAAGGTTTAAAGATTGACAAACACACAGTCACTCTGACATGTTGATGCAGAGCCTGCACGGAATTCAGACCTTTGCCGCCCGCCTGGTCAAGGCTCTTGCGTCAGCCATGAGTTTTCATGATCCTGGAAAAATGGCCACCCAAAAACTAACCTCACCCGGGATAGCCACCCTCCAGAACCGCAGCTGCTTTGCGCCCCAAAGCATGATCACACACCTCGCATTTGCGATATCTCCGAGCACAGGATGGTGCAAAGTATCAAGTCTGCATGCCACCCTGTATCTAGATATGCCAGTATGCCTGCCTGCTGGCGCCAATCTGTCAACCGTACCGTGGTCAAACAAGCCGCTAAAGTCGGAAGATGTCTGAAAAGCTGGCACCCCGGAAGCAAAACGAGAACAAATGCGGGGCACATTGGCCCAAAATGCCTACTGGCCAGCAAATGCAGAAAGAGCGAGTATGAAACTTGTTGCACTCGCAGCCAAGCATACTGCCCCACCGCTGACGAGCCACACTGAAAGTGTGTTGCAGCGAATTGTGCCGCTGTCCCGCGTCTGGCGCGGCGATCTCACTATTCAATGCACTACCCTAAGAGCCCAACCACTGCACACAAGCAGCCACAAGAGCAAGCGATGCCAAGCTGGTCCACTAAGATAGACCTCACAAAAGCAACGCAACGCCTGGTCGATCATATCTAGTAAGCATTTGCACCCTTGTTCATCGTGGGGCGTCATCGTGGTCTGTTACAGCTGCCAAACAGGCAGTTCAACACTAACCCACTGCGTGCAAAAACAATGGAGAAGCAATATGAGATCAGCGCAACTACCTGCCAAAGAATGCGCTATCTATCTAGGTGCGGGCAAAGCTCACCAATCAGCCGGCCTCAATCTGACAGGGGCTGGGCACATGTGTTTGCTCGCTCGCGGCGCTTGAAACGCAATATGTTGGCACTGTAGGGGGGAAAAGGCTTTCAACACTGCTGGCAGCATACATTCTGGGTGTGCATGCTGATTGGGATATGAGAATCTCGAATAAGGCAAATAAGCTTGTCAGTTGGCCGCTGTCTGTCGCCCAGGTGTCAGTGCTTCGCCCTCCCGTGCGCAGCAAAGGTTCACGCTTACCACTAAAAAGCGATGATGCATGCCATCTCTCTCTCTCTCTCATTGGATATTCGCCGCCCGTCCAACTGTGCGTGACTGGAAACGACGGAAGTTGCCGCGAAATAATAGCAACCCAAACACAAGCCATACCTTCCAATTCCAATTCCTTGCAACCCAATATGTGCTGCCTTGGCAGGGAAACCACGTGAGCAGTCAGTGGGCACTGTTGCTTCATGGCAAACAACGCTAAGTCCATTCTGCGCATGTTTTACCAAACATCTTGCCCGCAAAAATGCGAAGCTTCCAAATGCTTACGGTTGGACATGTTCGTGATTTCAAGACTCATGTTCGATGCATACATCACTGTTGTAAGGGACGCTGCATTCTTTTCTCCCAGTTGAAACAGGCAATACTCCGGGTGCTACTGCCCCCTCCCACCCCCCCACCCTCTTCTGAGTCCATTCGGGCGAGTTTGGGTTGATGACTTAGGGCTGACCAGGGGCTTGATTCAGGGGCGATTCAGGCTCGGTCTAGGCGAGTAAAGAATTCGTTGCGGTTGATGAGTGAGTGGGTCAGAGAAGGGCCGCAGGGGGAACATTAGGGTTGAGCTTATGAAATTTCGGCTGGCACGGCGAAAGGTCGCCGAAACGGGCGATGGATTGCTCGGTTCTCTCTGCCGGGTTGCGGCGCTCCTCTGGCGAAGCCTGCAACAGCTGGATCCGCCAGGCGCGGTCGTCGCCTAAAACCGCGGCCCACACGAATTGGCTACACGGGTAGCCGGTTCCACCGGGAAGAAACGAAACAAATGCTCTTGGCAGCACTTCAATGACCACGCCAACTTCAGATCAGCGAAACCTGGTTCGGGTTTCGTTGGGGATGTTGCTCTAACGGCCAGTGATCGACCAAGCAACTAAGCAACCAAGCTACAGATTGCTACAGCGCTCGGCCTACGCAGCCGCCAAGTCACGCTTCTCATATACCGCGCGGGCGGTGGCATACAGTGCCGGCAGCACATGCTTGTCAAAGCCCATGCCGTCAGGGCTACCTTCCTGAGCTCATAATTACGCGCAAAAGAGCCCACGGCCCAGGGCTGGATGAAAGGAGATCAACCGACAAAATTAATGTGTTTTCTGCCTTATCCACCAGTGTTGTATCTCGGTCCTTGCACAGAAAATACATGTGAGTTGACCCCTGGAAAAACAATGCCCTGTCTTCTCACAGCCGAGTGCAAATGTTGGCAACCATCCTCAAATTGAGCCGAGCTTTGGAAACTAGTAGTTGAGCTTACCAAGCGCTTAGGCAAAATAATTCACTAGCTAACTGACTTCTCTGGCCCTTGTTCATTGCACAGTTCCCAAGTCGCTCGCGCTCTTGACTTGCCATGGTAAGCCTGAAAGCTTGGAGATACCAAATTCAAAAACAGCCCGGTGGTGGGTGCAGGGTGCCTTTCGGCAACAACAACTGAGACAAGGACACAACAAGCAGAACACCCAACAGTGATGGCACGGCAAGCCGTAACTCCAAGATGCGGAGAAGTCGATGCGCGTCACGTGCATCACATCTCCTTGGCAAGCTGAAATGATGCACCAGGCGTGCTCCTGCACACAAGCAAGACTTGTTAGCACTTTACAGCTTCGAGATTCCTCGGAGAAAGCTTCCACTTTGCATTTGCACATGCAGGCTCACTTCTTTTTTCGCCTTCCGTGCCAAACAATCGAACGCAGTTAACTCTCAAGCAATGCCTCGATCATTTCAAAGGTCGCGAACTGGAGCCACGCAGCAAAGAGCGCTGTCAAGGTGCTTAATCAAGCACATGTTCACTCGCTTGGCGTGAGGTTTTTCGGTGCAGCAACTTAGGATCCCACAAGACCTTTGGGTCCATGCCTATAGGCGTGGGTTGACCCTTGCAACAATCTCTGAAAAGATATTCCTGACACGCAAGCACTGGCCATTTTCCATTCCCTCCACCCGGTTTTTCCTGATGTCCTTGCAAGCACCCAAGCGTCTAGGGGTCGATTCCCCATTCTTTTCAACCATCGTTCTTTCCAAACACCGGATCCGTTTTCCCTGGGTTTCCGGAGGTTTTCTAGAAAGAAGGACGGAAAGAATGGAAATGGAAGGTACCCCGAAGCACCACACCCAGCACCACACCCCAGGCTTCGGGCTGAGGCGCCGGTCTTGGCCCGGAGGCACTGCACCAGGTCCCCCCGGGCAGTGCCCAGCACCCGGCAGTAGCTGCAGAGCTGCACCACGTCGTAGATCTCGGGGGGGTCCTGGCGCAAGGCGCTTGCGCAACAAAAACAACCTAGGTCCTCCAGATTTGAGAGGCTAGAATAAGGGTACCATCCAGTAGAGAGGTGCTCGAATAAGTTGGTACCAACTTTTCTCCAGAGGTCAGAATAAGTTGGTACCCGATGTTTTTTCTGGACGTCGATTTTAGAGGAACCCTCCCCCAAAGGGTAAAAGGGCACTGGTACTGGGGGGACCTAGCCTAATTCTCCGTTACCCGTCAGTGCCGTTGGCCATGTGTCTTTCTCAGGGCCGCCCACTTCTTTGGCATGTGCGCATTCACAAAGCAAAGCATGGATTCTCCAGTCTTCGGATCCTCACAACAAGAAATGCGTACCTCGGGCTTTTGGGGTATTCGCGGTGGTGATTCATGGCAACGATGAATCGTGCGGCTTTGCCGACGATGGAGGAATCGCTGGCAAGCAGCTGATATAAACAGCACATGGCACAATATCAGCCCAAACTGCTGGCCAGGCGAGTGTGCGGCTGCCTTGATGCGGCCCATGCGGTGCTTCACTTCCACCACCAGCGTCTCAGAAGCCTTCAGCGTGAAGGCAATCACTGATGATGTTCATGCCGCATGGTAAGCGCAAACGTCACTCTGTGCCATGCTTTCAACCACATAACGCGATTGGCACTTTTCGCTCGCTTTTCCAACCGACACGGGTACTCTCCCAGATGGTCCAAACCAGGACCCCCCGAACGTCAGGTTCCATGTAAAATGGACGGGAGGGTAACGCGTGTGGGCAACGTCATTGCAACTTCCACTAAAGTCGTGCTTTGGTCCTGGCCTGGGCAGGTGGCAGCGTAGTGGAGCCTGCGGACATTCGACCGCCGGCGGCCTTGCCTCCAAATCGTTGGCGAAACATCCCCAGCCGGACCCAGCAAAGCGGCTTCCGTTTGGCCCTAATTCACGAACACCCAGATTCACCACCGTGGGGGCCTAGCAATCCAGGTCAAACATGAAACCAGGACACCTTACGCAAGTGACTCGCGCCTGCCTTTCGGCGGTGCGGCGCCGCGAGGCACATCCACAAGGGCATCCACAAAGCCGGTGAGGTAGAAGAGAGGCAACGGCCCATCTGCCGCAAAGCTGAGGGCATTACTGACGCGCATCTGAGCGGATTGCTGAAAGTGAACGACTTTCCATGGGAATTAAGTCATCAATGCTTCAAGTAATGTTGCTCTGTCAACTGTTTTGTGGAGTTGGCTGGGATAATCAGACTCGGGCTGCGGGCTATCAATGAATGGACGCCAAAGGCTCCCCTTCCCTTGGCCACCGGCGCCTTGCTTCTGCTTGTTCTTCTCACCTGGGATGCGCGCGCTTCGCCCTCCCACTTCACTCAAGTTCCATGGCGGATGCTGGTGGAGAAACTTGATGCGCAATTGCAGTGCTGAGGATCAGCACGCACAAGAACGTTTGGAAGCGCAGCCGTGCTAGTATCTGTGCACGACTAGGAACCCCCCTGATTAAGGGGCCTCCCAGATTCCCACCAATGCTAAAGTAAAGGGCCAACAAGGCTTACCCGATCATTGTTTATGCATGTTTATGCCTCCCCAAAACCGCCCCCATCAAAAGTGGCCCCCTGCAGCCCGTTAGCCAAAACAACCTGCCTGAAAAGGAGCTTTCCTTTGTGCTTGGAACTTGCTTTGTCTGCGCTTGGGCCCGCCAATGCTAAGGCACTGTCAAACCTGTCAGGTTCTCCCCAAAACATGTGCTTCCCCTGAATCTGTTTAAAGTGACAAGGCGTGCATGCTCACAAAGCGGGACTCCGCCTGGAGGCCAGCCCCCTCGTAGAAATCTCCGCGATTCATCAGGGCCCTTTTGGGCCCTAAGCAAGCAAACGATGTTGCCAATTGAAATTCTAGGTGCCCAGAAGGGGCCAAGAAGGAAAGGACCGAAAGGGCTTTCCAGGTTCCGGTTTCCAGTTCAATTGGCTGGGGAGGGGCCAGAAGTAAAGGACGAGGACCGAAGTGGCTCCAGATTGATCGGGGGAGGGACTGAGTGTAGGTATCCGCCGACAATTCTCGGCGTGTCGGATGCTAAGAGAGGATAGAGGCTTGCCCCCCCTAGTTCCTTTCCGCAGTCGTCAAATACATAGGGTTTCGGTTGGGGGGGGTGGGGGGGGGAAGCGCATTTGATGATGTTCCACTAAAAGTAGTCGTCCGGCTCGAATCCTGCTGGCCCTGCCGGCTCGGGTTTGCTTCGGCCGGGTTTGCTTCGGCCTCCTATTGGCGACAACGTCGAAACATACAGTGTTGTTCAACTGTTTTTGGCGGCGCAAACCGTGCTTCTCAATATGTCTGTTGTCTCGGCATCCTTTTGGCGAACACGTTGCTAGAAACACTGTTTCTCACTGCCCTTGGCCGGACACGGGGAGCCGTGGGCCCATGCTTAACAGCGGGGTCTTGGGCACACGGTGAAATGTCAGCGGACTGAGCCGGAGACTCGACCGCCAAGCTATATCCTTTTCGATGGCTGCCTTTGACCAAGGCCATCTGAGCCAACAACATTGAGAAACACGATTTGCAACAGAAACACACTGTGTGGTTTGCAACGTTTCCGCTGCAATTCCGCCAGCTGATGGTGGGGCTCTTGCCATTCCGCCGCGTGACGACCGCCCTTGGTTTCGCCATCCTCCCGGGGCCGCACGTTCTCGTGTGGTGATGGAAGGTATCGAAGGGCGGCATCAGGGCCCTCTGCTGGCATGGCCGCGAATACGCCTGGGCCGCAGTTTGCAAAACACATGGTTTCCATGCTACCGGACCACACCTCTAAAAAACAACTGCTCCTGGAAGAAATTGTTGACGTCACGAAAATAAAATTATTCAACCAATCGCCCTGCCTCTAATAATTTGGTGTGGAGGAAGCCTCTATCATACAGTTTGTATAACATGTGTTTACTCTGGCTCTATGTGCTTAGATTTCCGGTGAACTCGAGATCGGGCTTGAACTCTTTCCAGAGGCAAACATGCAAACCAGGGGACCGAAAGGGACCAATATGAAACCAGCCCAAAATCGACGCATGCTAGGGCCTGGCCCACGCAGTCAAGGCAAACCATAAACAGCATAAATCAGCCTACATGAACAAACCACTAAAGCCTCAACGGCCAACATGCTGAACATTCTATTGCCAAAACAGCCACCCAACAACAAGCCCTTCAGTCAAGAGAGGAACGGGAGCGCCCAAGCAAAAGAACTCACCTTTTGAGCAACACCAGCGGTTCAAAACCCAGCCTAAGCATCACAAAGCCAGCAAGGGCAACTGGCCGAATCCTTTCTGAACTTGACTGAAAAGGCACGGAGAGCAGCCTCATGATAGGGACATTGTAGGCCCACAAGCCCAAACCAGGGGGAGAAGGCCACTCGCAACCAGCCATACAGACAAAAATCAAACAAGCAGGGAGCGCACCAAACAGCAACAGCAAACTCTGTGACTGACTGACTGACTGACGGACGGGGGGACGGACGGACGGGCGGTTGGTCAGATTGACCAGCAAGCCAGCCAGCCAGCCAGCCGGCCAGCCAACCAATCGATGCACACAAACACACGTCCCAACTAGTAGTGTTTCGAACGGCTTGGGACATCTTGGGACTATGTCAACTCTTGGCACTTAAGGGATTTCAGTCCCTCACTCACACTCGGGAAAGCTGCGTTGGCCTAGTGCCATGCCCGGCATTCTCTGCACTTACTACACCTTGATTCGGCTTGGGACTTGTGATTTAATGCCAAACCAAACAAATCAAGCAGAAAAACAGATGAACTTCTTGGGGAGGTTTCTCCAAAACGCGGACACAGCCTTGCGGATGGTTTTAGAAGGGAAGCAAAAGGACACCGGCAATCCTAGAGGTCTTCAATTTTGAGAAGCGCCCGTATGAGTGGGTCTAGACCCGTTTGGATGTGGCGTTTGTGGATCCACCCCCTGCAGGACATTGAAAGAGTACCAAAAGATTCACCAAAAAGGACCAACAGGGGAAAGAACACGTGAATTCCTCAAAAAGCGCGTTCAAACCGTTTTCTCGAGGTGCTTCATCGCATGTGTTCAAAGCGGGCTGAGGCATCCCAACGCGAGAGCCAGCCGGTTGCTGCCGGGGCGGCGGAGCTGCTGGCCATAAACGCGACTGCCCACACGGGCTTCGTAGCTCTCCAGGGCGGTGTCCTACGTGTTGCACACCCAGAACTGAAGGAAATCACTGGATATCCCTTCAAAAAACATCTGGGCTAAGGTCTTGGGTAATTTCCTGAAGATGTTCTCTTCAGGGTCACTGGATGTCCCTAAAAGTTGATCAACTTGCTGGTGGTGGCCCTTGAAACCAACGTTGGAGGCTCCGAACAGGGACATGGCTCGGAAACCCATTCCAGTGCGCGCCGCTGGCTTAAAGATCCCAAAAGAAAAACGTTGACAATGACACACCGCCCGTCAAAGCAAACAGAACGGCGTATCGAATGCAACTGTGGGGATATTGGTAGCTATAGTTTGACAAAGACCAACAAACAACAACACCTGAACCTGGACAGAACTCATGACGGGAGTAACAGGCACTACTTCAAGAATGGCCAACACGTCTGGCACCTCATGGCGGGCTCCGAAGGTCAAGTTGACCTCCAGCTCCAACATCTGGCGCAGATCAGCGGCCTGCCAAGGGAACACCAGCTAAATCTCCCCCTTTTCCACTTGAACTCTGGCGATGGCTTTTGAAACAGCGCGCAAAAGCCAGCGAAGTTGAGCGCGACAAACCGGCAACCCTCGCAAATGAGAAAGCTCCATCAGGGTGGTTCAAGCTTTGCGCTGGCTAGGTGGCCACTAGGCGCTCCAATGTCTCCGATCACCGCAGCTGGGCGAAAGCCGGCAGCTTCGTGGCTGGCATGTTACGTGGCTTTCTTAAGTTGCTTTTCCGTTGGCCTCTTCCGGCGATTGCATGGAAGCTCCCGGGGAGCTTCCATGTTGGACCCAGGGAGTGCACCCAGGGCTCCCTATGTTTCCCCTCACATCACCAAGGGACACGAGTTCACTTTCACGGGCCAACAAGGTGATGTTGAAAACCACCAAAAAGGGAAGTAGAAGGGCCCCTGCCCTGAAAAGAGTGGAGTAACTCTCAATAATCGCATCTTCCCCAGTGCCTCCGTCTCGCTGAGGCGACGCTGCTTCTCTGCTCGGGCGACAACCTGCATCAAACCCCTCCCGGACAGCGCCGCAACAAGGAGCCCACGTCTCGAGGCATCAAGATGCAAACTTGACAGCCTGCTTCACACAGGCGGATGCAATGGTTATGACGATAGGTCTCTGCAACTGCTGTGGAAATTGTTCGGCTTCCTCCGGTCTGAGATGAGAAAAGGACGGCACTCACAGGAGTGGACATATACTGAAACATGCACGTGCGTCAAAACCACGCGGAGCTTCGCATCATGCTGCATATTAATCTCCATCCACCTCTACACCATCTGTTTCAAAGGCAATACTTTCCATTGGTTTCAGTAAAAGGGGTGCTGGGAAAAAATGACTCAGCTCCTCGCTGCCAGCGCTCCCCGCGACTTGGGCCAGGCCCCAAGGCCCGCCTCCTGCAGCGCCTGGCGCGCCACTTTCTGGGCCTCGACGCCTGGCGCCTTCGCCGCCGAGGCCAAAGCCGCTTCCAGGTGCCTCGCCTGGATGGGTGGATGGGATGGATGAGTCGGGAACATCCGGGGGGAAAGCGGAGTTGGGTGACACAAGCATCACAACTTTCAAGGGCCACGTCTAGGGCCACACTGCCCCCGAAACCAACCAGTTGATCTCAGTTGGCAAGCCAAATCAATGGGTTTTCAAACAAAACTCAGAACCCTTTCCCCCCACATGGCCTCCCCACTCTTCGCCAGCAGCCGGGCCCTCTCCTGATCTGGCGCCACCAGTTCGGCACCTGCCAGGCGAGCGTCCTCCAGGAGCAACTCCGGCAGGTCCTCCAAATGCGCGCTCCGGTTCGATAGGCAGGAGTGCAAAAACGGAATGTTCCCAATAAACCATCCAACTTGCGGCTTCCTTTAGCGGCATCCCTAGGTTCATTCACAACACCCGGAAGGTCATTCCCTGCTGAGTACAAGCAAGACAAGAGTTTGCTAGTGGCATGCCTGCACCAGCTGACTTACGCAAGGATGCCCTTTTGGAAGAGGCACATGACGTTGCTGTTCAGGAACCCGGCACGCCCCGAAACGGAGGGATGTGGTAAGCCCCGGCCTGACATGCGCGCTTGGCTGATTCACAAGCCATTGAGAGAGACCGGAGAGACGCGCCTGGTAGAGGAGCTCCAGAAACATCTCCCCCACGTCTGCGTAGCAGTGAACCCCTGCCGCTGCCGCCGCCCGCCCCGCCGAGATGCGCAGCACTTTGGGGCGCCTCAGGGCCGGCTGCGGGAAGGCAGGGGGACTGAACCTGTCAGCAGCCAGCGTTGGGGGCACGCTTTGACGGGTCATGTGCCAATATAATGACAAACATCCAAGGACTGACAACGATGCAAGAAGCACCGCAATTGTCAAGAAGGCAGGTTCCTGTGTTGTCCGCAAACATTGGACGCTTGCCTTGGCCCGCGCATGGACTTGCTTTGACTCAATTGGGGTGCCTCACTCAGCTGGTACTTCTACCTACTTACCTTGGACTGGTGAAGCTCATTATAGCACTGCTTTGATTCGCCTATAGGGTTGACTTGGCGCTTGGACTGGCCTGCCTGAAGTTGAACATCCAGTAAGCACTTCGCTTTTGCTCGGAAAATAGCTAAGCAACATGCTGCCCAATCCGGACGTCTTCCCACCATGACCCCTGAGATATCCCCGGTTTCCAGGAGCCCGGCTGCGGCTCCGGCTCCTCGTCTGAGTCTGGGACCAGCACCACCTCCAGGCTGCGCGTAGCGTGTAGTATAAACTGGTGCGCACCTGCGTAAAAAGCTGTCGGGATCTGAGATATGTGAATTCTCGCTTGCAAATGCTGGTGCTCCTGCTTCCAGTGCATCAAATACACCCAAACTCGCGCGCAACCCGTCAATTCTGCTCAAGTGTCGACCAAGAAAAAAGGATCAGCAAACTCGCTGCGACCCTGCACTCAGCCATTCAGTTGGCATTTGTTGGGCGATATTGGAAGGAGCAGTGTGGGGCAAAATCGGCTTCAGCCTCTGGGGCTATGTACTATACAATTTTACCGACACCTGCGACACATGCCCTGCAAACATACCCAGACCATGCACGTGATTACACTCAGGACGTTCGAGCGCGAAATATCTAAAGGTTCCACATCCTTAGCTTGACAACTTGCAAGGCGTCACAGGAAACCTGGAAGCTCGCGGCCGGCCTCCGCTTTCTTCCGCGCGCGGATTTCCATTCGAGAAGTGCCTTTGAGACCTTGCCAGTCCCCTTCAAAGGATCTCTCTCTCCTTCTCTCGCTCACTCTTTCTCTTTCTTTCTTTCTTTCTTTCGTTCTTTCCTTCTTTCCGTCTTTCCGTCTTTCATTCTTTCGTTATTGTTTTCTTTCTCTTTCTCTTTCTCTTTCTTCCTTTCTTTGGCTCTCTCTCTCTCTCTCTCCCTCCCTCTCTCTCTCTCTCTCGCTCAAGATCGGGATGCAAGTCCAGCAGTTTTAAGCAAAGGCTGCAAGACACATACAGCAACACCCACACACAGACGCAGCTGTCAATATGGATGTCACGGATAAGCAAGTACAAGCAGTGGCTTGTCGAAGAATATGAGGGAAAAAGCCAACTGGCGTCGCTCAGATTGTTACACCGCACCTTTCCGCTGCCAGGCATGTCCTTCAAAGAACCAAACCTCTTTCTGCCGAAGGGCGTAAGCTGCGCTCCTCACATTGGCCAAACAAATTACCCGCGAGTGAGGCAACTGGATTCAACATGAGGCCACCGCTATCCGAGTGAATGCTGAATTGCAAACAACACGCTGGAATGCGACCTGGCACCTCGAGCCCACATCTCAAACCCCCGGCCAGAATCAACTGTTCCATTTGTTCGTATCATTGGTCAAGAAACAACTCCTGCCTCCAGGCCTGCCGAGCGAAAATCAACCCGCTCGGATTGCACCACCAGCGAACTCTCCTGCCCCAAGTCCGGCGCCGAGCGGGCGCGCACGGGCGTCGCCAGCTCTGCCACCCCCAGGACCGGAGCCGAGTTGGACCTTCGGATGGGGGGGAGTGCAGCGCTCAAAACGGGATCGCCGCGGCAAAACACAGTCTGATGAGCGTCAACCTTGTGCTCCCAAGAAGGCCTTCCTCTAGAGTCAACGCGTATGATGCGTGCTTGCTGCAACTTGCTCAAGGCGAACTCCGGAAACAAAACCAACATTGCGTCAACATTGGTCTCCGCTCATGGTCCTCAGAAAAAAGAGCAGATTCTGCGTGGGCGGCTTACAGGGTACAAGGCAACAGCTCGCCAAAGGACGATCTTGTCGCACCCCATTCAAGCGCAAAAGAAGATAGCAACAGGCTCATGCGTTGACAACCTCTCCGTGGAAACGTGCTGCAACGCAAAGCCAGGCAGTGCAGCCCATCGCCCGCCTGCACCATCCGTCTAGCTTACGCTGCTTCACTGGCCCCGCCTCCTCCTGGCAGGCTGAATGCCAAAAAATGAGGTGAAGAGGCCTCCTAAACCAATAAACCACTTCAGACCATATCCTATGATGGTGCGCCACCAAAATAAAATGTGGAGAAAACCTCAGAACGAGCCCAGATGCATATATTGCTAGCGACCAAGAGCGCATGCAGCCAAACTTTCACGTTTGGTCCTCCTTCTGCTCCTTTCGGCGCTTTGGCACAGCCATGCTTTGCTGTCGTATGACAGGACCCCGGACCCCAGCAACCTGGACTTGCAACCTGCATGCTACGTGAAGAGGTCCCTTGTCAAATCATGGCCAACCCGCTTGGCCATAAACAAGACTTGCCTCCATGATGTCGGAAGTGGCGGGTGAAACTGCAGCTACATGAAGCTGAGATCAACGGCGCGTCCCTGGGGTCATGGCAGCGCCGCGCACTTCGAGCCACGGGATCGAACGAAGGCAGCGTCACGGACGCATTTCTTCCGAAACCCTCCGCAGTTCTGGAACTTGCCAGCCTCTCCAACATTGGCCGTAGCGCGTGATGTTCGGAGACATGACTGAGAACGTGTTCGATTTTTGCCTTACCATAGGTGAAGTAATGACAGGGGTCACTGGATTTCCCCAAAATGAACAGTTGGTCTTTCACTGGTGGCGTCCACTTTTTGGAGGCAACCCAAACAGGGAAATGGCTCGGAAACCCTGTATGATTGGTGCCAAATAGGACGCCAGGGGTCAATGGCTTCATCTCCCGTACTGAGCGCCCGGCTTCATCTCCCGCAGGGCGCGGTCCGCCACACGCGATAGGTCACCCAGCCTTGACATGTTCAGATCAAGTACCCTCTTCAGATCTACATGCTGGGTTCCCGCGCTTTAAAGAGGAACCCCCAAAAATTTGAGAAGCGGGAGCCAGTGGCCAAGGTTTAAGGAACAACACTGCCAACCACCTGGCATCTTCGGTTCCGCACAAAGGGATGATTTCAAAGCCGTGCAACTCGCAGACTCCCTCCCGGTGCGTGCGGGGTCAAATCGGGTCAAATAAGGTTTGGACAAAAGATCACCAACAAGCCCCACTACCACAAGCTCTAAGATCCGAGAAGTGGTCTGGCTTCTTCAAATGAGTCACAAACAAACCTGGTTTCAAAATGATGTACCCGCCGTGCAAAGAATCAAGAGGGCGGCCGCACCCATAAATTGGAACTGTTCACTTACCCGGGTTTTGATTGTGGCTCGAGTGAAAACTCCAACTGGATCGAGTAATATGGCCATGGGTCAAAACCCCGTACCCCCAGTGAACATCCCAAGCCCCACTAAACTAGAGTAAAATGGGTGGCGAATTCACCACTCCCAAAATGGTGCCATTGGCTTTGAACCATGGCCGTATTGATTTGGCGCTCCGACTGGCCGGAGCCAATGGTGTAGGGCAAGCTCCGGCGCTCCTCGAGGGTGCGCCCGTCCTGCGGTAAAGGCCATTTCCCACATGGACAAACCACGGCTTGGTGAGAGCCCCTGTTGGTTGGTATTTCAGGGTGAAGCAAAGGGACACAAACCCGTGTGGGTGGTATTTCAAAAAGAAAGGAGAGCATCATTTTAAGGGTGAAGGAGGAAAAACTCTTGGGGAGTGGCACCTCCAAAAAGGAAGCTGAGAACACCATGACTTGGGAAGGTGATCACGTTGTTGGCCCAGGCAGCCTTTTGGACTGGCAAGGCAACAAGCTTTGGACAAGCAAGTGTCAGCTTCCAGCACCCACCGCCCAAAGCTTACAGTTGCGCAGACTTTTGGCCTATGGTAGCCATTTCGGCATCTTGGCGCTGGAAGTGCTGTCCATTTCAGTGCCTTGTTGCTGCAGGCAAACCTCAACGCAACGCCTCAAACGTTGAAATTCGGGCTCTCAGATTCCACTGCTGCTAAGAGCTGGGAATCCGCTCTGACATCTTGATTCGCTGCTGGGAGTGCTGGGCAAGCTGGTAAATTGCGACTGGGATTCAGTCACTTTTGTTGCTCGGATATTGCTGTCTGGCCGAATGCAACTCTTCCGTCAGTTTAGCCCAAGCATCATCTAAAAGCACCCTGGACCTCGCAAACGGCAAGACCTTGTCAATGCGCGGTGCCCATGAAGCTCTACACTTTGTTGCTCCAGTGAAAGCGTCTTTCTGATACTGGCAGAACAGATTTGCATTGAACCTCCAGAGATGTTCGAAGAAGATCTGAAAAAAAAGAACCACTTGCGAGCAAACGTGCGCATGAACCGTGTGACGTGTGACCCCGTGGAACCGCTTCCTCAGCCTCCGCGCGGATGGAAAGCTCCACCTGCGGGTTGCTGCAACGACCCCTGAAAAGTCTCACTTTTTTTGTGAGTCCAATGCAACATCCACGGTCTCCCAAAAAATTAAAGTCCAAAGATCCAACCAAATAGCCATAAAGCAAGTTGTTTTGACTCCAAGTTTGATTGATGCCTACTGGCCGCTAACACAAGTCCCAGCCCTGGCATGTCTTCTGGGTAAATCCAAGTGACCAACAGACTTGCGAAAAAGGATATTCAAGCCGTCTCACAGTTAGGCTTGAAAGCCATTTCGCATCGCCCCAACAAGCAGCTCAGACAAAACACGTCCGTACAACTGAATTGGTCGTGAAACCAAGATCAAGAAGACCTACCTCCGTCTCAAGAACCACTTATACTAATTGCCAGACAGCAGGGGACAGGGTCAATGTCATGACCAACCTGAAACCTCCTGTTAAACAAAAAGCAACCTCTTCATCACGGAGGTATTTTACACCGTCTTGGTGATCAAGCTATCGCTAAGGGAAGGTATCTGTGAGCAAAACGTCGTGAAAAGCAATGTCTGATGCCGGAGCGGCCAGCAAAGATCAAGCCAGCACCAGCGCAATAGACCAATGCAAAAAATATATTCCTACTTCCCAGCGCTTTCCATAATGGATGTTGCCAAGCCTTCCGTCCTCCTCCCCATGTTTTGAGCGAGCCCGGGCTGGCACCTCGCTGCCCTCGCTGAGGCAGCTCCAGCCCTCTCCTTCCTGCAGCACCGTCCTGCCACAGAGACGCTGTGCGAGCCCGAGAGGGAGGGTGCGGGCCCGAGAAGGGCTTGAATTCTACATCCTCAAGGAAAATACATCGTGTCAAGAACCATGTGTAAAACTTCTTGCTAGGCCATGACTGTCAAAAAACAGCGTGCCGCGAACTGCCAATGTAATTGAACACCTCGCCTTCCCTTACTCAAAAGAGGGCAGGCTCACAGCCTTCCGAGATCAAGGTGGGCATCAACCCGACCTGCGCTTTGTCTGCGAAGAAACCCATACAATTCGTAAGCATTAGCAACACCACAGCCCTAGCATTCTTGTTTCGTGCCGACATTCTTTGGCTGTGTCATGCTGTGTCAACCCCGCTTATTCATAGCGGGTGGGTGCCCTCCAAAGTGGTCTGATTCCCCGCATTTCACCCAGGGACACCCCCCTACCAATAAACTCGGGTTGATTAATATGGGGTCAACATTCGTCACAGGCAGCCGCCAAGCATCCAGCCACCCTGAAGTCACTGTCCTTATGCAGGCCCAGTCGCCGAAGAGGTTGTCCTGCTACCAGCAAGCTTCTGGACACACTAGACACGCGATCAGTCCGGAAGCAAACCGGAAGGAAACAGTTTCACAAGAAGTTATATACATACACAGAATATATATATATATATATATATTATACACACAACTTCCGTAGGGTAAGTATGCTTACCTGGTTTTGGGATCTAGGTGTTGCGAACAGCCTTCTCTCATTGTTAGATTCCCGAGAGCATACTCTTGTATGTTGAAAAGGGGAACACTGTTAGGCTCAAGCCACTCCGTATATATAGGTCATAAGCCTCCAAGAAGTAATTCCTTGTTCGGTGAAAACATCATAGTTTTCTGCAAAACTGCCGTTTTGCGAAGAGTTCACCAACGGCTGCATGTTGGATGGGAGTGGGCAAAAGTTCCTTTGCGATTTCAAAGGGCACGTACAGCGTTTCATATGCGAAAGCTGATTTGGATGAAAAATATCAGGAAAAGAACAACCTTTTGGAAGCCACAGGTGTAAATATATATTCTATGTATAATTAATGTAGAATCCACGTGCCGAAGCTTGTCGAAGTCGGATGCATAAGCTTGCAATATTCGGTCCTCTCAACGCAACATGAACAAATGTTGCTACATGAATACATGATTTTACTTTTCCCAACCTCCCGAAGCCTAAACGTTGAACCTGGGTATGGGGCGTGGGAGCAAGCCGATGGCACTTTTTCTCACCCGCCGGCGCTTTGGCATTCGACGGTCATCGTGCCACAGCCACGCTGCAGCAAAGCCGCCGCGGCCGCGGCATGGACATGGCCTGTCGGACCTGCACCCAGGCAGTCAGGCCCAGGAAGCCACAAAACTGGAAAGTCCGACCCATGCATTGAGAACGTCAAAAGAATTGGGCGCTGGGAAAGTCAGGAAACGTTGACAGCGATCATCTCGTCAAGGAAAAGAACATCCAGCGGTTGAGCAAGTTCCATGGGCTACCCCTCTGCGCTCCCCTCCTCGCCCGTATCCACATCCAGCACCTCGTGCCGGTCGCTGTCCTGACGTCAACATGGGAGATGTAGGCGGGGCCAGGCTGGTGCATCGCGAGAACGCGACAACCGATGCATGCTCTTTTTGGGACTTTGAACATCTATGTCCCATCGCCTTCTTGCCGGTCAAAATTCACCAACGCCATGGGAGTGCGTGTTGAGATCGCGCAATCTTGCCTGCCAAGCCCGTAGCCTGCTCACCTCACGCCCAAGCGGCCAACGCCGACTCGAGCGTCCTGGCGCGAAGCGTCGAAGCCGCCGAGCAAATGGATCTCCGTGCTCACGGCACAGGCGCCGCAGCCGGCGCGGCTCAGCTGCACCGCAAAGGGCGGGAGCCAGCGCATCTCCTGGCCAAGACTCAACGAAAAGGCCGCAAGTTGCAGGAGGAAGCAGAACCGTGCCTTGAAGCGCAAGATTGATACAACTTCCACGACTCAGGCCCACCTGAAACCGCAGGAGCCTGCATATAGAGTGGCTCGCAACGCTTCGCATGTGTCCCACGATTCAGGGTGCCGCTTGAGGCTTGGCGAATCTTGGCGACCGATGATCTTCGGCGGCATTGTTCGAGTTTGGGGGTCTCAGGCTTGGTAGGGGAGAAGAAATCTAAATTTAGCAGTAAAGTCGGGATTTCCCACTAAACCACAATAAGCAAAAATGTAACATGTTTCCCAACGACAAGCATGCAGGTTGCCCCCACCCACAGCCCTTGTCCGAACATCCGCGCCCCCCGCCTGCACGTCGAAGCGGTCCACGACGGGCACGGTGAGCCCTGAGTTCCCGAGGCCCCCCAGCAGATGGATGCGGCCCGCGCAGGCCACGGCCGTGCCCCCCGAGCGCGCGCTGGGCATCACGTCCAGGCGCTCCCAGCGCGACGCCGACAGATCCAACGCCTCCACCTGAATGCCAGCTACGCAACAAGGCGCGATCGTGTACGTCAGGGAAGTGGTTTGTGAGCCTGCAGGCCACTGAACGGAGGCTTGTAACCATGGTCATTCAGTGGGATACGACTTTAAACGTGGGAAAACGCGGAAGTATTCTCAGAGTCTTGCGGTGCACAGTTCATCAGGGAGCCTTTTGGGTCCTGTCTGGTTATTTTGGGACACCCCTATCCCTCAGCTGCTCGCAACCAAGTGGGACATGACTCAACTTGAGCAGCTTTGAGAATGCCAGCGTAGGAAGGCCCGCTTGTGCCTTTCTGATCCTGGTTGGCTCCTTGTAAGCACTAGGGCCTAGAGGCCTCAGAAAGTGCGTCACAGGAAGAAGCAAGAGTTGCTGCTCGCATTGCTGGAAGGCAGAGAGAATCAGAATTTAATTCCAGGCAGGATGAGTCGCAAAAAGCTAAGAGGCCTTGTCCAGCACAGTGCCGTCCGCCAGCTGGCCCCCCAGCACAAAGACGCGTCTCCCCACCGCTGCGGCCGCGCAGCCGCAGCGGGGCGTCGGCATTGGAGGCAGACGCTGCCAGCGGCGGTTGCTCACGTCGAAGGCCTCCACGACGTCCAACACCTGCCTAGGCGCGCGCATTCGCACATGCGCACACATACACAGACACACACACGGACACACACACACAGACACCACCCCCTCCTAACCACACCCCAAAGCCTGCATCTATCTGGGCTTTGCAGCAGATGTTGACCTCATCCTTTGGTGGCTTGAGGCCAAAAGCAGTGTCACCAAGCCGGTCGAGATGGTACGGCGCTAGTCCCCAGCTTTCATACATGCTTCAAGCCGCCGGACCCACCGTTCCCATCTGCTTAAACAGGTTCCCCCGGCCCATGTCCACTCACCTTTGCCAGGGCGCCATGCCATCACCAGGCCCCCGCAAATGAAGACTTTGTTCCTGAGCCATGGCGGACGAGCCGACGGCCATTGTTCCCTAGCCAGCAACATAAGCCCTCCATGTTTCTAGACTCAAATCAGTTCTGCCATCATTTCTGCCCAGGGTAGTTCGAACAGTTGAAAGCTGAATCTGTGGCTTTTACCTCAGGCAGGATGTCACAGCATTTGAAGTGATCAATCCTGTTTGCAAAAATCATGGGAGCAGGAAGACTTTGGAAGGCAGTCGTGAAACGAGCCTGCACACTTCCACTTGGAAGAGGGTAACTTGGCAAACAACAAATGGGTCTGCCTTTTTTGAGGGTACCCTTTTTTGGTTGCCATTTTGAAGGTCCGACCAACAAAAACAAGGCATGCCCAACTCGCGCAACGCGTGATTCGTCGATTCGATCCGGGCATCTCTGCCACTGCGCAGGCACAGCCCGCCCGTGCCGTGGGCATGGGGGGCAGCCTCTCCCAGTCCCCGGTGCCAGGATCAAAGCACTCGCCTTAGGCTGTGACGCCGTCAGGAAGGGTTTCAGGAAAATTGGACCGGGATCTTCGATGGGAGCAAACCGGTAACCTCTCTCTCCCTCCCCTCCCCTCCCCTCCCCTCCCCTCCCCTCCCCCCCTCCCCTCCCCTCCTCCCCTCCCCTCCCCTCCCCTCCCCTCCCCTCCCCCTCCCCTCCCTCCCCCTCCCCTCCTCCCTCCCCTCCCTCCCTCCCCTCCCCTCCTCCCCTCCCTCCCCTCCTCCCTCCTCCCTCCTCCCTCCTCTCCCTCCCTCCCTCCCTCCCTCCCTCCCTCCCTCCCTCCCTCCCCCTCCCTCCCTCCCTCCCTCCCTCCCTCCCTCCCTCCCTCCCTCCCTCCCTCCCTCCCTCCCTCCCTCCCTCCCTCCCTCCCTCCCTCCCTCCCTCCTTTCTCTCTCTGTCGCAGTCTCTGTCTCTGTCTCTGTCTCTGTCTCTGTCTCTGTCTCTGTCTCTGTCTCTGTCTCTGTCTCTCTCTCTCTCTCTCTCTCTCTCTCTCTGTGTTGCGTACACCGGAATACGCGCAAAATCATGCCAGGCGAAGTGAACAACTGACTAGGCTAACATCTATGCCATCAAACTCTTTGCGCCGGACACCTTGCAACAGCCCCAAATGCCGCATCTGGAAACCCTTCGAGTGACTGTACGGCTTAGGTGTCCGTGTGCTTCCAACGCTTCCAATGAGTCCATGCGCCAAAATAACACACAGCAAAGCTCAATAACGACTACCTCATTACCAACTCTACGCGTGGATGAAACCCAATGAAACCCATGTTCCGTCTCGCGTCTTACGTGCCCTGGACTTGGGCGAAGGGCAGGCAGCGAAGGCAGCACGCTGGTCCTTCTCCCCGCCAAAGACGAAGATCTTGCCAGCAAGGCCTTGTGAGGTGAGGCAGACACACGCCACTGGGATTCTGAGTGCGAAGCACGGCCCCATGTGGCTCCAACATGCTGCAACCGCATGACCGCCTGTGCGATCAACCTTGCGCCATGCGCCAACCCTCCCCATCCCAAAGGTCGTGGTTCCATGCGTCCGGTTTGTTGTAGGAACAGCAGCCGCTGCTAGCATCAAACCATCAGTTGGAATGGTGCTCGGAAGCGTGGCGCCTAAAAGATCAATCAACCTCCACCGCCTCTTAACTGCTTCAAATTGGACACGCAAATAAAAGGAACATTCTGCTTCAACAAATGAATGACCGAATGGATTCTTGCAACGGACGGACAAAATTTGACGAATGCATGAAGGAAGTGCTCATCGGCCTCCAGACAAGGACATTGGCAAACATATCCACAAGGTCTTGAGCTCTTGGCTGGCAAATTCTAAGCCAATTGCCTTTGGAAAGCCAACCAAGGAGTTGCATCCGGATCCGAAACCGGCGGAAAAAGCGCTGGGACGCCCGCCGGCAGCGCAACAAAAGCTTCGCGCCGTTGGCATTGGCGGCAGCTGCTCCCACTCCCCTCGTTCCTTAGGACTGCCGCAACGCCAATGAGGCCAGGTGAATGGTCCCATGGAGGTGCTTGTTTAGTTGTTTTAGGGCACCCCCCAAAAAAAAAGAAGCAAAAATGGTGGGGTTGCTTTCGGGCCCCTTCTAAACCACAAAAAAAGGGGTACCCTCAAGAAAGACACACCCGTGTGGTCCTTGACATCTCGTTTCAAGGATCACAGTTTGCAAATGACTGATGAAGTGTAGGCAGGGAAGCTGATTCAGTTGAACAGCTGAATACTGAGTTTGGGGCGCAGTTCAAAGTGAGGCCTTTCGGGCAATTTAAATTGTCCAATGTCCGGGCACGACCATGGGAAGCATCCAGCAAGACATAACACCCGCAAAGGTGAGGTTAGTTTCCGCCCTCTGGTTCCCAATATCCACTGTGGCAATTGTTGACGAACTGCCCTGGATGTGAGCTACAAAGATGTTCCTTTCATACATGCACCTTCAAAACACATGCGCATGCCGCACAGATTGACAATTCGATGATTCTGAATGACATTCCACTCACAATAAATAGCTGCCTAGCTCGCCCAGCGCAGTGCCAAGCGACAAGGTTGTAGCGCTCCAGGTCCCCAACTGTTTGCCGGCTGCTCTGCCCACCGCAAACATAGATCTCTGGCAGCGCAGCCTGAAACAACTGTAGCTTTCCTCAGAGTTGTGGAACCATCAGATGCTATTTTAACATGTGCTGATATTTTCTGCCTGTCAATTTTCTTGGTTCTCTCAAACCGCTGCGGGCCACACAAAGGCGCCAACCCAGTTGCCACGCGAGCCTGGTAGAACACGGGCACCCTTTGTACCGGTAAAACTCACCAAACAAACTGTAAAACCCCGCAAAAACGCAAGACAAAACAAAAAAGAAAGAACTGCTAAAACCCACCAACAAACCAGTGAAGCCCACCCAAAAACCCTAAAACCCACCAAAAACAATTGGTGAAACCCGCCAAAAACCCACGGAGAACTTCCGGGGGGTTGGCGACTGAGCCCCCCGGCCTGTCGCAGCTGGGGCCGCGCCAGGCGCAGCTTGGCGCCGTGGCGGCGGGAGCTCAGCGCCAAATGCGCCGCGGAGGCGAGGCCGCCGAAGGCGGCCACGGCACAGGCCACCTAGCCATGGAGTTGGGTTGGGTTGGATCGGATCTTTCATTGAAAGCTTTGGGCTTGGGTTTGGGTTGGGTTTGGAGTTGCTTTTTTTGACCGTTTGGTTTGTTGGGTTGGTCTGGCTTGGTTGGATGGCTGGATTTGTAGCTTGGTTTGGACTTGGTTGGTGTGGATTCCCATTTCTTGTTCAGCCTTCCGATCTGAAAGAACAAGTGACCTCTCCACCACTGATTCTTGAGCCCTGTCTCCCCCCAAACAAGCAGCCCCCCCACCCCTTATCGAAGGGGTGTGGGGTTCTTGACATTAAATCGGAATCGCATAGACCACCTCCAATCCAAACCAATTAGAGAGGAGCTGACATAGGGGCATGCAACTGAAGGCTGGGTGGTTCAAAATGGGCCCCAATTGGTGGTTTGGATTTCTGGTTTGAAGCTTGGTGTTGTTTTTCCACCGGCAACTCTACAAGAGCCAGTGGTCAGGTTCCTCTCAATTGGTAGTTTGGATTCGATTGTATCACAGCGGGGACAAGCCCCGAGTGATCAACCACAACCTTGACTGGTCAGGGCTTGAAATCTCCCTGGCCATTCCGATTCCCCGACGTCGCTGCGCGCCTGCGGCCGCTGTAGGACCTGCGCCAGCAGCTCGCTGAGCCGCTCCGCCCGCTGCCGCCGAAGTAGCTCCTGCCGCGCCAGCTCCTGGCTACAACGGAACGGACGGGTTCGGAAACTCAACCAACCAACCCACCCACCCACCCAACCAACCAGCCCTATAGTAAAACAAAAGCAACCCTAGAAAAACAAAAGAAACACCGGACCCAGTGGCGAACCCCAACCCAAAAATGGCAATAGCGGCAATGGTTCCATCCCCTGGTTGTCCGAGGCTGCGGAATCAAAACACCCCTTGGAGTTTGAACTGACCGTTATAACATCGGCCTTTGCAGGCGCAAGCCTCCGCTCATTCATTGGACACAAACCGCAACATGTGGTCGACAACGCGGGCCATCCGTTGCCAAGTACCCCCCCTTGGGCTGAAGCACATGGATGAGATTGCGCACTGCACCACGCCCGTTTCAAAGGCTGGCTTGAACTTCTACATGCATGTCATATGGTGTTAACTGTACCGAAAGAAGAAACACAAATCATGCTCATATTGTGTAGACCGTCTCTGTAGACCCTGTTCACGCAAAACCTTGTGTGTATGCAATTGACTGCACATTCAACATTCGCACGAGGAAAACGTCGGGTCATGTGGGAAAGCATGCTAGGCCACAAGAGGTAGCAAAGGACACCGTCAAACTGTTTGATCCCCGCGCTCCTGCGATTGGCTGAGGCAAAAGGACATGATGTCCTGCGCTAAGGAGATCTCCATGGCCAGAAAAAGACGCGCCAGGCGGGCCGCTGCAACGGGCTCACCGGACAAGGGTGGTTGTTTTTCTTAGGGGCTGTTTCAACATCGTCGCAAATCTCTGGAAGTTTGGGCAAGCATTGCCATCCCCATCCCCTTTGTTCAAACCTAGCAAGAACCAGCAGAATAATGCTGCGAGTTAGGCTGGAGCGCTGAAAGGCAGAAAAACAATGGACACTAGCATGTGTTGTGCTGGTGGCTGGTCGTGGGCCACCTCATATGCAGGCCACCGCCTCTCGCGGAAATTCGCGTGGCGCGGGGCCGAGCCCAAACTGCGAGGCTTGCCTTTCATGATGCCATAGGAACCGAGCTGCAAGCCATACCGAATAGACAACGACATAATAACATGGAAACATGATGCGCCTGGATCAGCATATATGTATGTGTATACATATATATATATAGGAAGGTCTTGGTAATTAACTCAAGTTGCGGACATGTTGAGAAGGCCAGCATGGGTGAACCGAGGAAACCTTCCTGGCAAATTCTCTGGGCCCCAGTCTCCGTGGCCCTGTGTGTGCTAAACAAAAAAACAACGGTTCAAACAATTTCCAAGAAGCTCCACAAGCCAGCAAGCGCTAGGAGGCAGTGATGGGACGCAAGACTTTGTTTGTCGCTGAATGGTGGGAGAAGGGGCAAACACGTGCCTGTTTTGCATCTGCAGCTGGGACTATTGCTGCAAACCAGTTGAATGAATGATGCGCACGTGACTGGCGTATGGAATGCAAAGCGCTTGAGCGCCCTGAGCATGACAAACGGGTGGGTCCAATTGCAATGGATGGGTAGCAAGTGGCAGGAGCTGCGTTGCAAACAGCAAGAAAGAAACTCATGCCGTGCGGATCCACAGGAGATTGATAGTGTCAGCGTGGCATCTCTAGTCTCCGTGCCAGCGGTTCTTACCTCAAGAGCGCAACACCCCTCAACAAAGGAAGTGTACATGATCCCTTTGTCCCGCACTCATTCTTTGGAGCCAATCGTGAATCCTTAAAGACTCATCCCTACAGTCATCGACCAGGTGCTGCCTTCGTGACATGCTTGCCTGAGCTTGCTGACCACCAACTCTTTCAGGCTGTCACTTCCCCAATAACAGCGAAAAACGAACTTAGCTTCACAGCCAGTGTATGCCAGTTTGCTTGTTGACTTTCCTGCTACAAGTGGGTGTGGCTCAAAATTAAACCAGAGGGGTTCCACAGGTTTTGGTCCAGGTTTCCACTTACCAGGGTTCCATTTTGGTACCTGCTTTTTGGGCCACAGCCAAGTGTGCTCACGTATCTCGTGTCGCTTCTGCAAATCCCAAGGCGTCAGACGTGGCCCAAGCCTTGCACTCGAAGCTCAGCAGGTCAACATCAAAGACAAGGGTGGCGTCCGGCGGGATCTTCGGGGGAGTCTCGGCGCAAGAGGGTGGGAGGACGTCCCCGTGCCGCCCTGATTGCTGCAACGACCCCTCTGCAAAAGTTTGACTTTTGGTGGATTGATGGGAAAACTCTTGATTTTCAACAAGTTAAAGCCCCAAGATCCAACCCAATAGCAATTAAGATGCCTGGCTTGCACTTGGAGTCTTCGGAAATCACGCCATGTTGGTTTTGAATGCGTAATGCACGGAATCGCCTGCTGTCAACAGGCATCCTAACTCAAGAGAACATCGCAGTCGTTGGCTTGCACTATGCCTCTCCTTGACCCACGGCTTGCCGTGCACCCTGCTATTTAGCCCCCATGCAAGAATGAAGCCAACCAACGCTACGAGTACAATCTCGACGAAGTCACAGCATCATGTCAGATCCGCTTGCCAGCGCACTCACAGAGTCAAGAGCAAGATGTTAAGATGTCTGCCCATTAAATGAGATGGCGGCAAACTTGGTTGCTGTACAAACGGCGGGTGAAAACCATTGTTTCAAGCACGGTCAGTCACTCGCAGAGCGTGGTGGCACAATGTGCCCAACTCCGAACGTGCGGCGCTCGCGACAAAGCCATGCCAGTCGGCGGCTCCACGAAAAGGAATTCCTTCGTGGTGCGCCTTGGAAGATGCCAGTCATGGCGCTCAGCCCCCGATCTGAATGACCATCTCTGTAGTTACGTTGAGGAGGTGGTCCAAGGTTTGGTGGAAGGCTTCCGTGACGCCTTGCCCGGTCAACGAGCTGGTCTCAAAGTACCGGCACCGCAGCTTCTTGGCCAGGTCCTCCGCCTCTTGGTAGGACACCTCGTGTCCTCGAGTGGTTTGTTGAAACAAGTACTGGTTCGAGAACGATCGAGAACAACGGTGGTCATCTGGTCTCTTGGCAACATGCGCCGATTCAGCGGGCACACTCACTCTGATCTACAAAACTCATGAGTTGATCATTCAGAGCTGTGACGTGGCACCAGGTGAGTCAGGTTTGCTATGCCCCTCCGTGAAGGCCGTGCATTCTGCTTGGCTTTGAATTCGATTGACTCGCTGCATGACAATGACGCGCAATGGCTCAAACAAATACATGCAGTGCTCGCCAATTCCGTGTGAAGCAAAGCACGCTGGCAGATGGACGGTTTGTGACAGAAATGTGCAAGTGGTGATTTGACAAGTCCGCCTCATGTGGACAGGCAGGCTCGGTCCTGACGTTAGCAAGCCTCAAGTACTCATATACGGTTGTGGATAATCTCACAGCATAAGCCCGTACGGCCCATGTAACCTTGAAACCCTGACACCTAGAACCTTGAAGCTGTCCCGATCAACTAAACCACAGCCTGCACTTCTGTGATCGACTCATGGCTGGAACCTAGATTCTACAACCCTCAATCCCAAAAGCTCGCAACAAAGCCGTATCTTCACCGCAACCACCTGTATCAATTAAATGGCAAACCGCGGGCCTTGTGCATTCAGCTAGTGTAACAACTGCACTGATACCTCTGGCTGAGTATCTTTCAGCGTCCGCGTGCGTCCCGACAATGGACACCATCAATAGTGAGCTGTATTCGGTCTTTGCCAAGTCCACCAGGACCGGGACAGCTTCAAAGGAGGATCGATTCACCTTGGGGAGCCCTGCTAAGCTAATCAGCTCAGATGAGTAGCAATCAAAACCCGGTACACAAATGGTGAACCCAGAACCATGCAAAGGATTACGAAGGCGGCCGCAGCTAATTCGGGTTGGTCCCTTACTAACCTTGATCTACCCCGGTTTTGAGCAGTTGGCTCAGATGTCACTCAAACCAAAAGGGTCTGAAAGCGAGCTAAGTCCGGCAAGCCACGAGACTAAAGAAGATCAAGATGACCCCAGGCCCGATACGTGCATTCCCTGTTTGGGCTCGCATGCGCTCCTCGCCGCAGGTGTCATACAGCCTTACAATACCAAAGGTTGCCAGGCAACACGCTGTGTCTCAAATTCGCCTTTTTGAGAGGGGCGTTCAGAAGGAAACAGCAGAGAAAAACATGTCGTGGAGTGGCGCCGGATAAAACCTTCCAGCCCACTATAAGCTGAGAATCTGCATTCGGACCACCCGCCCTCCTTCTGTTGTCAGCTGAATGGCTCCCAAATCCACGCCAATGGTGCGCTTGTAGTCAGAAGACCAGGTGTTATGCAGCAGCCTGTTGCTGAAGCAGGTTTTGCCCGTCCGGCTGTCGCCGAGAAGAAGGGCTTTGTAAATGATGCCATTGTCGTCATGCTCAGCATCCATTTGTCGGATGTACGTTCTGCCCGGGCAGTTGAGAACATACAGAACCTGGGCTCCAGTCATTAGAATGCTCAGGCAACCTGCAACGACCGAAGACTTCGAATGAACATGTATTGCACAGGTACATGTATATATAGATAGATATATATATATATAGTACAAACCAGCCCACCAAACTGGAATCAAATGTGTCCGTGTGTGTCCCTACATTAGCAGAACTTCCAACAGATTTGAGTGCGAAGAATGGTTTGCCCAACGAGTTGGGAGGTGTTCGATCAGACGCGGACCAACGATGTTCGATCAATGAGACATGAACAATCCTGGTGCATGTCCCTTGTAGCCTGCAGCCTTCCTTCCTCGGCCGTGTGTGTGTGTGTGTCAACCATGATTTCATATTAACTTGGCTTGCTTCGTTACCTCAGATGCCCAGTGGCCATGGGAAAAAAGAGAGAGAGAGAGCATCCCTTTGTTTGGTTGGTTGACTTTAAAGGGCACCACCGGCCAACTGCGTTCCCATGCGTATCAAAAGGCTTGCGTTGCTCACAGCTCGAAAGGAATCGTAACCGTGGAAGGAGAGCGGGCAACCTCTAAAGGCGCATGTCCCCGAACTGGACACCAACCGGCCAGTTTCCAGTTTGCATGGAACAAGTGGAATGTTGGGACCCAGAATAATAGCCACTTGTTGGTTCTTGCGGAGTCAGATTGGGTTGGATCCTTTACTTGCAGGGGCAACACCTCCCAAAATGATGTGCCAGGATGCTTGCCGCTGGTCCAAAATTTCCCCACAAAGCACTTGCATCCTCGGGGCGGCCTCCGCCCCAAGCTTCAAATCTCCTAGTCGAACACCTGGGCGAAAGCCGAAGCAAGGTCCCAGCGAGTGACCAAAAGACATCAACCAAAAAGAAACAGCCGTCAGACATAATCTTGGAAGACCCGTGACAACCTTCAAGCTGCCTGGAAGGCCAAAAAGAGTAAGAAGGACCTCCCCAGCAAATTCTGGCCTTGACATCAACTCCGTCTGGTGCTGGGTTGCCTGCTACAGCGCTCATTTTGCCAGAGGCACGCTATGCCGCTATGCTGTTGAATGGGGACAAGATCGAGCCAAGAAACCAAGTGGCCAAGGCCAACAAATAGATGGCTAGAACTCAACAGGGCTACTGCTTACAGTTCTAAAAAAAAGTAAAGAAACAAATATATATATATATAAAACTTAATAAATAAATAAATAAATATATATATATATATATATATGTATATTTCAGGGGGGAAAAAAGGCTCCGGCCAATCTGCTTGGACTTGAGAGACTTGCTGCCGAGCTGCTCCGCGCCAGCGGCTCTCCATCCTTCAGCAGCTTGGTGTAGCGGTTCACCCCCGCTCCTCCAGCCTCCAACTTCAGCAGCACGTCCAAGATGGTGCCTTCCAACTTCGCGACCCTCACTCCAAAGGGCTTGGCCCGACCAGGCCTGACCTCACAAATATGGTCCAAATTTGAATCCCACCAACACTTGGAGTTTATGTAACCCAAAGGGCTTAGAGTTTATTGACTCCAAGGGCTTGGAGTTTATTGGCCAATAGCCTGACCTCAGAGATGTCGTCCAAATTTGAATCCGAGCCCAGCAGGCCACGTTGGATGGGCAAAGGGGAGGGGCCCAATTCCACAGTTCCAACCAATAGAAGAAACTCCGGTTGGACATGTTTCTCCGGGTTCAATGTCCAAGCAATTCCACAGCTCCAACCAAGTTTCAATTGCGTGAGCTCACACTCCTTTGTCTGCATGGGACGTTGAACCCGCAGGATGACCGAGGATAAGCATGGGGTTTGAAAAGTTTGGTGCTCCCATCACAAAAGCAACTTCCCAAAACCCCTGCAGTCAGAACACAGTTCTGCCCACGCTTGCCCTAGAAACCATGCCGGAACTTTAATGCACCAACTTGCCTCGGCTCACAAACAAAGCAGCGCCGGTGCTTCAGTTTGGGAAGCTGCAGCTCGAAACCCTGCATCTCATTCAAATGGTTCCTCCAAATGCAAGCCACAGTGCCTAGAAGCCCGACTTCATTGTAACAACTTAACACATTGAGCCGGCCCAATGCCTGGGAAAACTCAGAGACTCACTGCACTGATTTAGTTTTAATACATCCAGCACTGGTTGAACAGAAGGCAATCACTGCACTCCGACTGCCAGCTTGTGCGCTACCCTCCTCTGCAAATGAGAAATCCGTGGCCAACCTGGGAAGCCGCATGTGAGCTGATGTACTTCATGACCAGCAGGAACTGTAGAAAACATGAAGCGCACCCAAAGCGCTTTCAACGCAGCAATCGCTCATGGCCTTTCAACGTGTGGAAACAACCAGCAGGAGCAAAAAGACGGAACACACGGATATGGCCCCTTTGGCCTTTTGGCATGCGAACAAGGTACTAGATCTGGGCATGTCCGCCTGCATCGCCACCTCCCCCGAAAGCCACAGGATCGTGACGGACACCGTCAAACCTGAGCGGAACGCTGTGGCTGTACGAATCAACTTGCGAACACGACATCTGTCAACACAAGCGACGATTGTTTGTTGGTCTCTGCAGGGAATCATCATTCCAGGATTTCTTAGATGGTGCAAGATGGCGTCCATCCACAGTAGAGTGGGGAATGGATTTTCACATAGTCGTTAACCGGTGACCATATACTTGCCTCAAGCATTCCGAGATCCGGCAACATCTTGATATCTTCCCATGACCCCCTGATCGCTACTACCTTTAGAATCCGCCAATATGGTTATCAATATCGCACCAGCTGGCTTCGTGCCAATCCCGACACCTCATGTTCTCTCATTGCAATTCTAACTTAAATTGCGCCTTTTACTTCTGAACCGCAAAACGAAAAGAACAAAGCAAACGCATTTTTAAGCTTGCTGGTGGGAAAATCACGATTTTGATGCTTTGTTTTGTTCGGGAAAGGGGGGGAACCCATTTGGACGAGGACCGAAGAGGAAATCCGGCCGACCCCCAATTGCCCTAGTAATAAATAACGTTTGGGCTCAAAGCGTTGATTATCACTTTTTTGGCGGAGAGGGGAGCCGTAATTATTGTTGGGGGAAGCGACTATCCTCCATAAACAAACGAGATGAGGCATAGAAAAGCACAGCCGAGCAACCAATTACAGACTCCACCTGCTGCCATAGCTCTGTCATGTATGGCAGGATCTCGCTCCGTCCATCAAAGAACATGGCAAGCTGCCTACTGCCTGGGTCTCTTGACCAAGAAGACACGGAATTGGCTTGAGCTAGCAAGCGTCAGCTTTCAGCTTTGCCAGTTCACTGAAGTGTCCTCACTATATGAGACAACCTGCAGAGACATATCGAGTACAAAGGTACAGTTGAGCCCGATTCCATTCAACTGTTGCCAGGCTAGGCTAGCCCTCTGTTTGTACCCATCGTTTTGGCATCACATCTGGTTCGCGTTGCGGCAATTTCTAGAAACTCTTTCAGAAACGCAAACTCTACTCGTCCGAGCATCGATGGCAAACAGCAGCGGATGCTGGGCAAAATGAGAAACATTAGTAGGATGCCTGTGGGGTTGAGAGCTTCAATGACTCGAGCAACAAGGAACGCCTGATTTGCGATTCGTATATAATATATATATATATACACATGTTCAAACAATTAAGTTCATCCTGAATCAACTTTGCCCACTCCTGGTTTTGCCAAATCGCCCCCGTTTGCGATTCCTCTTCATCGGTTCCTGCTGATGAGCCAGTGCAGGACAGCAGCATGAAATGGGGAAGCTTGTGTCGAAGGTCTACTTTGAAAAAAAATGTTCATGGTGGCAGACGAGGTTGGAGCTAGTGTCCTTTCCAGGGCTCAGGTGGCCGAACTAGCGAAGGATGTGGATTGCCTCCTTCATCCGTCTCATCCCAACTCAGGAGTCATGACAAAGCTGCTGCATCTGTTGCATTGTAGTCACAAAGTCAGCAACCTGCAGCATGACAAGCAAATAACCAGCACTCCGATTAAACCACTGCAGCACTGTACTGCCAACCCCCCTTGTATAGTTTTCCGAGTTGGCCCGGAAAGCCTCTCATGTGGTTGTAAATCACTAAGTTCCACTCGTCCCCATTATTCACAGGTTCTGCCGCCCAGGGACACGCCCATTCGCCCAGGAATTGAGTGAGCGCTAAGCATTACTTGTGTAATGAACATGGTCGGAATGTGGAGTTGACTCTAATTGGGCACACCAGGGCATGTAAGCGGCCGATTGCCTAGCACACGCAAATCTGCACAAGCAGTTTAAATCAGGAACCACAAGCGAAAAGCTCCGCCATGCTCAGAGTCAGAGTCGGGAGTGCCCTTTGCACTTTGCGCCCTTTGGTCACTTGCACAGTGTCAACTGCGGCGTTCAATGAGACAAAGGATAAGCAAGGAACCAAGAACAAGGGAACCTGGAGCAATGGCCGACCTACTGACTGAGCTGGCACAAGTCGTCACTGTCAACCGTGCAGCAAGCTGGCGCAGAATCTCTTCCCATGCCCTCTTGGCCCCAGACCCCTTCGGATCCGTAGGCAAAACTGGGGGAGATGGTCAGCCGGGCCTCCTCGAGCGCACATGCCACTGAGAGAAGTGGCACCAACGTCAGGTGCGTGGCTTCAAGCGGTTGCCTTTGGAAACGACGCGCTTGAGACGCGGACCGAAAGCCGAAAGCTGGCACCGTTTTGACTCGCAGAAGTCCAACAGTCCAACCCTCCCGTGCCCAACTCTTCCCAGAAGAACTTAGAGTCCCGTAACATTGCCAATTGCAAATCCCAGGGCGTGAGCTTTGCAAGCACATGCCGATCAGGTGGCTGTGCCTCGCCCTGCCGCATGGTGGGTATGGCTGCCTCCCAGCCTGGCACAAATTGACAGGCAGCAAACCACAGCTTAGAAGCGGTTGACCTTCCATGCCTCGTTAAGTCGCGGCCAGCTCAAGCGTTGCCACGCACTTGACTGTCCGTGTCATGGACTTGCTGCGCCTGATCATGTCTGTCTCCTTCCCCCCCCCTGCCCAGCCCGCATAGGCAACTGGATTGAAGTTCAATTTGGCCCCACACCAGCCAGTGAGCGCTATGTCAGCACTGGAGTACCACTTGCCCCAGCTTGCCTTTGATGACCTCCCCCTTGCCGATAGAAAATACAGCTGGCTCCTGTCAAGGCGCCGATGCCGCACGAGAACGCCAAAACACATTCGGCTAAGCAGGTGACTAGGGACTCAATGGGCAAGCTGTTGATTGAGCTCAGCAACATCTTCTGCTGTTCAACCTCCTTTCATGCCCATTGTCAGGCACCACCGACCCCCGAACAGTGCTAGATCCCAATGCCAAATCAGAATGAGGAAACGCTCAACCAATGCTAAGCCAACCCATTTCTGCCAAACCCGCCCCCGACATCGCATTCGGAGTTGACTTGAACATCTTGAGCGGCCCTATGCAATTCCTTACGGAACCTGCGATTTTCACGGCTTTCGTGCCTGGCAAAAGGGGGGCAAATGCCATGGCACTTTCGGAGGACCAAAGAAACAGAGCCGATCCGTTGCTCGGGCGATGTGTCGTTCGGGACCCGTAGACTGCCGTGTCCTTGCCACGGGAGGAGTCGAACTCTTCGCCTGTCGCCTGCCGAACGAAATCGCATGCACCATTGACGGTGCCTTGGCATGTTCGGCTTCCAAACATTGAACAACGAGCAACTTATTTTTGCCATGTACATCAAGTCTTCAGGCATCTGCGGTATCCATACCAAGCAGTCGCTGTAATGAACACAATTATAGTAGCAGAGGACGCAACCAAGGTGAGTCATTAATGTATACACATTTGCACCTTTGGGAACCTTCAACTGGCCCCGTTCTAAAACACTAACATCAACCATCGAATCGATACTGAGCTGCCGAGGTTGCACCGCAGTATCAATTGCCCAGAAGGCTGGGGAATTAGGTTCGTGGAAAACAAAGGGACCCCAAAAAAGCAGCAACAACAAAAGGGGAGCTAATTCTGGGGAAGTGAGCAGGGATGATTTTAAGAAGCCTCAAGCATAAGCAGGCGCCCTCCACCAAGCATATCAGTGGGACGAACCGAGCCGAGCGCATCACAGCGACCACACAAAAGCTGCAACCGCAAGTGCGACACAACTCGGGAAAAACATGGCAGTTGCAGGGAAAGCGAGTGGACAAAGAATAAGTAGGCTGTCACCATTTGTCCAAGACACGCCTTCCACAGCGCCTTGCAAAAAGAAGAAGCCATAGATTGACTTCTGCAAGCTCTCCGACCTCTGCCGGGCCTCTAAGCGGCCTGTGTAGTGCACAGTCACCTGCGACATAGTCGTGTTGCTGCAGTGGGCATCCACTGCAGCAAGTTTGTTGTTTTTGTAGAGGTCCAATGGAAAATCCACTGTTTCCCGAAGAGTTAAAGTCCAAAGATCCCACCAAATGGCCATAAAGAACGTTTATGTTGCATTTGCGGTTCGGATTGGTTGAAATGCCAGAAGTGCCAACACGAACTTCTATGTCATAGCATTTGTCAATTCAATGAAGGGAACTGGTGGATGCCAGCATCCCATCTTTTATAAGATTATTCCGACCCCGACAATGGTCCGAGTCATGCCAGAATGTTTCCCCGTATGGACGATATCAAATGCCTGACAAGGACAAAGCGACACTCTCTCACTTGGCAGTCATCTTGTGGGGACGTTGCTTCAAAGGCTGGGCGCGCCCGAGGCAGTGCCGGGCCCACATATGGGGCTTTGCACAGCTAAGCAGCGAAAGGGTCTGCAGGAAGCATCACCCTGATGGCATCAGAGTGATGCTTCCTGCAGACCCATGTATGTCAGAGCCAGGCAAAGCAAAGCGGCCATTGCTAACCCTCGCGTGTGCGTCTCAGATCGTCAACCAGCTCAAGCGTCACGTCCTCAGCCACCTGCAACTGCGGCTGACGGGCTGACAGGCTGACGTGACGGATGCTTTGCCATCCCGCTCCTTTACTTTCTGTTTGTGCCCATCGTCCCAGATATGACGCATCTTTGCTAAATTTGGCCCTTCAGCTAGAGACGATTGCCAGAATCACTGTGCCGCGAATCGGGTCCAAACGATTCGAAGTTCCAATTCGAGGGCCACAGCCTTTGTTAGATACATGTCAACTGGGCCAACTTGCATGCCATGCATCCAGAAAAAGGGGTGGTAAAGAAGTGGGTGATCTCCCGCTGGCAGTTCTGGATAGTATGTGAATCGCGATATCTGCCACATTGGGATAAGAAAAATAATTTTCCGGGGAAAGGCCACTTGTCGATTTTCACATGGCCAACACCACCATTCTGCAGTACTGAAGCAACAAGACGCAATGAGGCACCACAGGGTGGGTGAGAATATGCCAATCGGGCTGATAAAGGAAACCAAGTCTAACGCTGTTGCTTTCGGGTCCTGCGTCAGGCTCCCCCACTCTTGGCTTGAACTCCCCTGGTTCCCGGACGCAGCCTCTGCAATCAGCTTCTGGGCCATGACTCGTGGCAGTGTGGGCAGAAGCAGCTCATAGGAGAAGGCCGTGCAACCCCAAAGGCGCCTCATGGACTCAGCTCGTGGCATCTCGCATGTCTGAAACCTAGGGGCTGCGACTCAAAGGATTTCTTGTTGGCTCGCATGGTTCCCTCAGATTGTCACCCAGATCTGAGCATGGATTTGTTTTTCTTCGCAGAGAGGAGTCATGCGCTCGGAAACTACGTGAACTTTCAAGCAACCAAGCTTTGGAAACCCGTTGGACACACGTCGGAAAACCAATGAATGTGCAGGTACCATTGTATGGGAACCTGCCAAAGCGGAAAGAACCCTTCCGGCCGGTCCGGTAGGTTTCGGCTTCATGTGTGTTTGCCATCCCTGAGTGGGCACAGAGTGTCCCACCACATTGTATTGATTCATCTGTTGAGGTACGCTATTCTTCCTTTATTTGTGCTGTTGTTATCATTTGTGTTATGTATATCATATACATATATGTTTAACCTTATTTATTTTCATGGATGTCCTTTCCTTGGATTTCCAGTTTGTGTCTCGTCATTTCTTTATTTATGCCTTTGTGTCATGATATGATATGTTATTACATTTGAATCTCTGATTTGCGTGATGTTCTTCTCTTACTTTGTTCTGTTATTTTCTGTCTATTGGTGTCTTTATGCTTTTGTTATGTTCTTTTCTTGTCTTTAGTTCGTCCTTTTTTCTTTCTTCCATTTTATTGCTGCTTTTCCTCCCTCCCTCCCTCCCTCCCTCCCTCCCTCCCTCCCTCTCTCTCTCTATCTCTGCCTTCCTCTCTCT